CTGCAGTTCATTTCAGGCGAGAATACCTGTATCGAAGAACACAGAGTGAATAATTCTGGTCCTCGAGGAAAGTGTGCTATACAGCTATACTGAGGTATAGTTCCGCTTGACTGTGTTTTAGCTACAATGGAATTTACTATTTGCTCTCTCTTTAGTGTCTTTTATATCAAGAATGAACATGTATAAAAGATAGACAATCATAGGGAAATACACAAAACCTCTAAATAAAATTAAATACAAGCAATATTTAAAAAAGCGATAATTTAAAACTATAGAAGTGTGCCACCAGGAGGATTCGATCCACGACTCTAAAATATCGATGTTAATACACAGCTGATATGTCAACTGAGCACAGACACTTGACGTTTTAACCTTTCTCTTTATTGATAAAAATATCTGTATACTATAGTTATTATTATAGTTTAGAGGTATTTTTATCAATAGAGAGAAAGGTTTAAAACGTCAAGTGTCTGTGCAATTGAGCTATTCTGACCCTATATGTAGTTGTCATTACATGAACCAGCTCGTCAAAAACAGGATTCCTTAATCTTTTTTTTTTTTTTTTTTTTTTTTTTTTTTTTTTTTTTTGGTGATTTTCGACCCTAGGGCAGGGATGCCCCTAAAAATAACCTATCTTAAATTACTCCTTTCATTATAACCTATCAAAATATAATTTTATTTAGGGGCAGGCCTGCCCTTAAGGACTTCAAGACCAAAATTCACGCAAAAATAGGTGCTCTAACAGACAAAATGCTCTTTTGGCCAACTTTGGAGATTAATTTTAAAGTTGCAAATAATAAAATTTTAGGTTCAAAATGCAAATTTGACAAATTTAGACAAATATACAGTGGAAAACATCTAATGAACATTGATATTTAAATGTTACATTTTACGGGAAAATTAGGTCAAATATTTTGAAATTCCGATAAATCCTTTTCAGCAAATGTTTACCTATCATATTCAAGTATACTTTAATTTCAAAAATAAAATATAGTCAAAAATAAGAATTTGAGTATACTGGAATGCGCAAAGGGTAGGGTCCTTCGGCGCACAACCAAAAAATATGGGGTTTCATCAACAGGCTCTTGTTTTGTATATGGGGTCAACCCCTTTGTTTTCTTTCCACAAGGTACCTAACTCAATATCAGGTACCCCCGCTTCAAGCTCGCATTTTGATACGAAAGTTTTCTTTTAGTATCAGAGAGTTTGAATTTTTATAAAAGGTTTATAAGTTTAAGGTTATATTTTGGATCTTTCAGTTGTATTACTATGTGAATGTGTCATAGAAAAATATTTTATTTTTAAAAAAGTCAAAGAACCCTTGGGGTACGGAAAACGGGGAGGGGGGATCCCGTCCCCAAGCACTTGTGGTCAAATAAATCTTTTCAGACATCTCTGGTCAAGACCTCTTTATTGTGAACCACTCATTTATTCCTCAAAAATTACAGCTATACGTTTTAAAGACTTTAGATGGGATACAAAACTTTCGATTGGGGTTATAAATTTAGGATAAAACCAGAGACTTCCGAATATTCTATTCTGAGGTTTCTGGTTTTATCCTACATTTATAACCCCAAGTTATGTATCTGAAGTCCTAAAATGTATCGAGGTAATTTTCGAGGAATAAATGAGTAGTTTACAATAAATAGGCTCGGTCGGAGACGTCTGAAACGATTTATTTGACAAGAAAAAAGTCTCTGGAAGCGAACGATGTCATTTTAAAGTAGGTCAATGATTGATATATTAACAAAATACGAGCTTGAAGCGGGGGTGCCTGAAATTTTGTCAAATTGTGTTAGACTGGTATTGCCTGTCTCTATCTTTCGAAATGTATATCGCGCATATCAGACAGGCAAGCCAGTCTAAAATTGTGTCAGGTACCTTGTGGAAAGAAAAAGAAGGGATGACCCATATACGAAACGAGTGCCCGTGGTTTCATCGGAGAATACGACAGTAATTTTTCGACATAAAAGTATTAGATAGAAAAGGTTTCGTGAAAAATTTCAACCGAGGCATTTGCTTAACTTTCGTCAATTTCCTGAGTATTTGAATGGGGAAGTGGAAACACAACACACGAAAAACGGCGACGTTTAGCAGACCTGTTTTTTTTTATTCATATGAAGCAGAATCTATTCAAAAACTTCTACATGAGAAGAAAAAAGCACTTGCTATGGCCTTCGACATTTTGATATATCGACGGCATATTATCAATTAACAATAATTACTTCCATTCATATGTCGGCTCGATATATACATGTACTCGATATCCCAAAAATGAAATAAAAGACACCAACGAGTCTTGCACATCTGTCACATCTGTTTCATATTTGGAGATATTTCACTAGAAAAAGACTTTAATGGTGACCTAACAACAAAGCTTTATGATAAACGTGATGACTTCATTTTTTAATCGTCAACTTCCCTTACTTATGTAGCAATATACCCTTATCACCTGCATATTGTGTTTTTGTCTCCCGGTTGATTGGATACGCAGGAGCATGCTCTACGTTTGAACAATATCTAAAACGAGGCAAGCTATTGAAAAACAATTTGATGAAACAAGGATATCAACATTATCGTTTGAACTCATCATTTCGCAAGTTTTATGGTCGATACAAAGACCTTGTCAGCAAATACAACCTATCATTAAGTCAAATGCAGACTGACGTTTTTCATACTAATTATTAGGCCATTATTTACACACTGAATCGTCTACGGATTTTTCAATTTTTCTAGATCATGACAAGGAGCACACGGTGGTTAATTGTGACTAGTCGGCAGGGGATGCTCACTCCTCCATGTCACCTGATCCCACCTCTGATGTTTTTGGAGGTCCGCGTTTGCTCTGCTCCAGATTTGTATTGTCTAAATGGACTTTGAGCTTAAATACTGTTCGTTATCGCATATGGTAACTGATCTGTATTCGCGTGCTTCACTCTATCTAACTTGCTACAGATGTGGTAGGTGACCGATGGTGAAAGGTCTGGGTAAATGTGAAGATATTTCTGATACGATTTAAAGTACGATTTATTTAATTTAACTATTAGTCTCAAACTTTCTTAATTAAAAGAAAAAGATGCTTGTTTATCTGAGGGTCAAAAGGTCTAAGACTAAGGTTAAAATAACCGAGTTGTAATTACAGTTGACTGTGTAAGTAGGCGATACGTTATTTCGATCATATTTCGGGATGAATATCGAACTCTATCCGATTTACTTTAGAACTCGCAGGATGATCAGGCCCATAGGAAGCATTTTCGATTGGAGGGGGGGCACTACCTAACAGAAATTCTTGACAAGCCAAAAAAGGTTAGGCCACTTTTAAAATATTGTTTGATTCCCCTCTCCCGATCGACTGGTTAAAAGTGGCCCGACTCAAAACTTTTTTGAACCTCCAGGAAGCAATTATTTTTTTTATGCATTCCGAATGATAGATTTTAAAAATTCAGCACTGATCTTGAAATTTTCCATGACCCTGATTCGGGAGAGGGCAAACAAACAGTATTTTAAAGTTGGCCTTATCAGACTTTTTGAAGGGGCACATTTCTATTCTCATTAATAAAATATACATGTACTGGCAAAGCTATTGAGGGAGTTCAGCTGTCAATTACCTTTGTTTTCTATAGTGAAGTATATACATGTACTGGAAAAGTTATTTGGGAGCACCCTGCCCCCCCCCCCCCCGTTTTACAGGCCTGATGATTGGTAAGGGCGGCTTTTAACTCACAAAAACAGGAGTTGAACAATCATACAGTGGAAAGGATGACTTCAGAAATAGGAATAGTAACTAATGGCGAATTGAAATGGAGACAACAGGATATTAGGATCACTGTTTAGAGAAGGCTACAAAACACGTACTATAAATGAGGTTCATCGATCATGAGATAGAAAAGTTAGAATTACGGTAGATTTATGACGTAGCCTGTTTTAAAACGCTCTTATTTTCATGTTTTAGCTATTTTGGCGTCTTTTGTACACCGCTAATATTTTACACACCTGAGTTAGGAATCGTTAGATCAAGTCGCTACAGATGCGTGTTTGGGATTGAAAACTAATGGACAAAACTTTTCAATAGGGACTTGGGGAATAACGATAGTAGCAAAAGAGATAGCTGTGTGATGAAGAGACTTGGCGTCTGGGTGATAATATTTATTTCAAGATCACCTTACAGTATACACCATGACCTAAGACTGGAGCGAAAATAATTACCTTGAGTAGAAATATACCCAAGACTTTCTTCTTGTGGTGGGACTCGAATAACTCTCAACTTATTCAAAAGTCATGCAGCAATTTCAACATAATTTTCCTATTGCTTCATAGATATTTTAGGGCTGTGTAAAATATCAGTACTTGTAGATGAAGGCGCGGATTCAGGATTTTTTTTCCAATGGGGGGGGGGGGGTTCCATCCCAGTCCAAAAAAAAAAAACTTACCCAAAAATTTCTTGACAAGCCAAAAAAAAAAAAAAAGAAGAAGTTAAAATCCACTTTCCAAACGTTAAAAACACCCATTTCGTGGTGGTCTTGGTGGGTTTAACGTTTTCTGGGGAGGGGGGGGGGGTCCAAAGTCATTTTTTATTTGCTTTAGTATATACTTTTTATAACTCTGCAAATTCCAGAGGGGGGGGGGGGGTCCTGACCCAACCCCCCTCTAGGTCCGCGCATGAGATGATTTACTAAAAACTAAGTTGGACTAAATGGATTTCTAACTTTTGCCAATCAAACTCTAAATAGTATTCAACCGGTTATACCTAGTACACTGTAATATTCATGTTTTCATTGTGTGTGTGTACTTTTACCGTCACTCCTTTATATCCTACTTTCTATAAAATCGGGTGTCTTGATATTCAGTCCGCAGGTAAATATACATATCTCATATTGCAATGCGCAGCTTAAATTTCTCATACGTCACTATCTGCACTTGAATCACCTCTCAAAAGAGTTAATCTCCTTACATTTTGAAAATTGGCCCCTCTATCGAAGAAATAAGTAAGCAACAAATAATCAGGTAAAACAGGAAATTTTAATAGATAACTGACATAAGAACAGATCACACAGTTACAACAAAACAGACTGGTCCTGTCCGACAAGTCTGAATATTGAGCAACAATTTACGGCTGCCAAACCCACTTTATCAAACTTGTTGGCTTCCATTCTTTGGTAAAGATCTTTCACTGTAGTCCAACAGAAAATTATTTCATTTAAAACTTTGGGAAATATTCTATTTGGTTCATTGCAATATCAAATTTCATGTAAAACTACAGAAATATTTAAAGAAGTCAGGTGTTGTTTGTATTAATAGAGCATTTTGCTTTTTTTTATTTAAATGCGAATAAGGGATATTGATTGTGTGGGTTCCATGTATACTAGTACTCACAGAAGACCAGTACTATTGATTGTTAAAAGTAAGGCACTGGAAAATGAACTAGATATGCCAGGAAAGGAAATGGATTTCAGAGTACCACACTTAAATCTTACATAATGTTCTGTTAGCATAGTTACAAAAGCTGACAACTCAAAAACATCCCTTTTATGAAATTGCACTTTTAGTAGTTAGTTTGTAGACTACAGTCTTACTGATGTTGATCTTTAATAAAATCTTGATGATCTACATTTTAAGAACAGTCTGCACAATATTTGTCAGACATATTATCACATTCCAATGATATTATCCCTGACATTTTACAGTGTGTGGTAAAGCAAATAAATCATAGATAGCCAAGTTGATAATTTCTCAATAATATTATTGTTCTGAATTTAAAATAATATGATGTAAAAACAATGTACTGTAGTACAAAGACAATTTAGTTGATAAATACACAGATCTCCTGATAGGTAACAAACAAAGATGGCCCAAAAACCATCCATAAACAGTATAAAAATAGGAATCTCAGTTTAGAGGCACATGCATTACAAGCCTTTACATCAATAATGCCTGATGTAGATTTGTACATTAAAATACAGTTCGTTTATAAAATAACACTATCTAATATCTATCCTCATTGTAAAATGTGTGCTAAAACCCAGAATGCCCTGCTCTTGTCAGTATCCAATCAGTTAACAGATAACAAAAAGATATAACAGACAAAAAATTGGAAGGTACAGTGGTCAGAGTAAGGAATGTAAGGTACGTCCTGTTCATGTCCAGTGGCGGCTCTACATATATAAACACACCAAAACATCTCATAAACCAAGAAATAAGGGGTACAATCATTAGTATGTACAAACATCAATTAAAGCTAAGCCTTTGCTTCTCTCATCATATCTTCATTATGATTTAGATGCTGTGACAAAGCAACACACTGGACAAACACAGGATCACACAGTGAACTGGGAACAGATTTGGTCCAGAGAATGTCAATCATACATAGACATGCTACCTCTCATACAATAGGACAATATGGCACACTCAGTCTACACACTTGGAATTCACAGTATCACACAGCTAGGGAACAGTTCTACTAGGATTGTAGAGTAGGTCTCTGTGTGTCCATTTCACACAAGACTGGATAAAACCCAGCAGACTTGGTCACAGCAGAAGTATGTCTGTTACAAGACACCTCTCCAGGAAACCATCATTGTTTAGTTCGTTGACTTGAATCCTGCTTCACAGACTAGCATCATGGGGAGAAACCCGATAGATAGGACACCTGAGATACAGAATGACTCCAAGCTTCAACTCGGGATAGGATAGCACCAGGCTTCTGGCTATACAATGGTACAGTCTCAAACCAGAAAACTATGGCCTATATCACTTATTCTTAACCCAACATGACTGGAGCACATTGGAGAAATCTTGTCCATATGGAATGTTTTGTTTTCTTCACACATTTGAACAATCGATCTCCAAGATAGCTTTAGGAACCTCAGCAAATTGATAAACTAGGCGCTGTCCATCCACTTTATTAAGAATCCCTCGAGCATAGTAATACCTATAAAAAAAGTAAATTTTAATTTATTATCTTTATTGATTTTTTTTAGAAGAGTAATTAATTTTGCTAATTCTAGGTTCAGCACATTTTAATGCATATTTATTGTAGAACATTGTTTTCTATTTAGTGCCTCTGAATGATACGAGTTATTTTTATCAGATTTAAATTGTTACAATTTTTTGCACTAGCCTTCTTTTTTTATAAACTTTGAGGAATATGTGAATAAGTGACAAATGAAATGTATAATTCAAGAAAAATATTCAACATGTAATGCATTTCATTGAATTAAAGCAGGACATTACTAGTCTGCACTAAGAAATGGAATAAATCTGCAAGCATGTAATCATTATTCTGAGTTATAATTATCAATCAGAGGAAGCCATGAGCAGGCTAGCTGATTGTAGGTGGTAGAATGGCCAAATAATAAACCAGTGGCCTACAGGTAGAATCGAAAATGCCAAAGCATTAACCATAGGCCTCAATTTAGTCAACAGTGGAAGTCATTTCCATATCATTATCACGATTTTTAATTAAAAGTAAATTCCTCACTCTGATTGTATAATGCTAATAATGCCATAAAACTAACACCGTGGTCTGTTAAACAGGAGTGGTTTTGTTTTGTTAATTAACTGGATACTTCAAAATACATTTGTATCCAGTATCATATGTCCAACAAGATATTACATCAACCACTTATTTGGGGTTTTAAATGGTTGCAGTGATGCAGTCAACAAAAATGGTTAAAATGTTATCCCTCTTTTTTTTAAAATATGTTCTTGTGTCCTTCTCTCGTACAATATAAATAGGGCTGACATAAGCCAGGGCCTTACCGTAAGGCTCTACCCATTGTTTCGTAGTTCATATCAGGTTTGTTCTTGTGGAGACCCCAGAGTTTGGAGACAGCCTTCGAATCGACCAGTTTGAAGATTCCCTTTTCGCGGTTGGTCCATTTGATGTATCTGGGGCAGGTTTCCCTGTTCTGTAGTAGCTGTAGCAGGAATTCCCAGAGATATGTTGTGGAACCTGTTCAGAAAAACAGAAAACATTGAATATCAATAACAGCTGATGGCTAAATATAGCCCACTCAGGAAGGCATTGTTCTGCTAATGTTTAGTTAAAATATTACTGATCACTGTTGATTGATCACTCACTTTCTCGCTTCCTTTTTGGCTGATTGATGGGACATTCCAATGGATTTTTAGGTTTCCTTCCTGTTAATGAAGTAAAAACATGATGTAGTTAAGTTATGGAATGACAAATATATTTGTGCTTCCCATGTTCAGCATGTATAAAATTGATCATTAATGGAGCATTAAGTGGTAAATAAAACACATGCACTGTGTCTGAAAAATGTGAAAATACGTTGTCAGTAACTGGCAATGTGGGGGTGTAATGGATTCATAAATCGACAGTTAATGTCCGACAAGGCTAGGACAAAACTCTGTCGATGTAAAACATCTCAACCTTGACATTCATTGCTAGTTTGATCTAATTTCTTATCTGACCAACATTTAGTACTAGATACTCTAAGGACATGCCCACATAGTTGAGTTTTATTTCCTATTTAATTTTTCCTCCTGTCCTTATGGAACCGAGGCATTTTTTTTTTTCAAAATTTCCTACTTATTTTTTATTCAAAGGCTAATTTATAATATCACATAAAAGAGAAGATGAATGGTTTATCATGTATTACATCCGAGTCATTATTTAAAGTATGCTACTATAAATAATATTAAAGCTTTCATGAAAGAGAAACTTACCTTTCTTGCTTTTATGTCGAATGGGTGATGAGGGTGGGGAGTTCGTTGTGGGGGTGTGGCACGTTTCGCTGTGCGAGGGGATACGTGGAGATGCTAACAGTGGACTTGATGATGGGTACAGGTTATGTTCTGTAAAACAAGAATTTGGTCAACTAATAATACAAAGCACATTGTCAGAAGCTGCTAGAAGGATTGCATGTAGGTAATTATACAGACGTGTTGGTGAACAGTTGATGCTGCTTTTATTTCAAAAAACAGCAATTTTATAACACAGAAAATACCTCTCAGTGCACACCTAGTGTAAGTGACTTAAAAGCCAAGATGGCATTCATTTCACAACAACAGGAGATAATTAATCTTTACTTCTAGAAACTCAAAGTTCAACAAGACCAAATAACCCAAGGAACTATAGGCCATTGACTTCGGCTCCATAATGTCCTCAAATCAGGAAACCCCACTAATATAGAAGTATGGTACTGCAGAGACCAAACTAATACAGAAGTACGACCACTCGTAGATGTGTCAGATTTGTAATAATTGGTTATAACAAAGAGAAATATACATCTTGTTTTTATCAAGCTAACAGATGGATGTGTTATTGCATAATATGTAACAATAACTGTCAGGCATGGTCAAAATGATAAAATTCATTTCAAGTTTACCCCCAGTAAAATGTGTCCTTTCTGTATACGTATATAATAATGAGAGATTTTGCACGCAAGATCACCCATGATCTCAAGTGACATGGCTCCAAGCCTGACCTAGTCTGACGGGTATTATCGAGGACAGGAAGACAATTTCCTGACAAAAAAAGCACCGACTAAGAATCCCAAACAAAAATCAATATCTCCATAACAATCGGCCCACTCTCTCTCTCCAAACTAGGATTAAACAGCATTTAAATGTATGTATCTAAATAACAAAACAAAGTACTGATAATGGTGCCTAGCTTCCATTTCTCTCCCGCACTGACCTTCCGCACGGAAGGTTATCCGCAATAACTTATCACACGTCGGCTACTGTCATCTGCTAACAAACAGACCATCTGTCTTCCAAACCCAACTGCGTTTTAATTAGCGCGAAGCAAATAAACAGCTACACTTAATTATATAAACAACTTGACTCATTTTCATAAAATTATGTTTTAAAATAAAATATATACATTTGCTTGCCAAGAAATTCCCCTAATAAAGTAAAATGTGACTTTGTTAATGGGTTTTTGTAATATCTACATGACACTTTTCCCATTTAGGTGTGTAATTAAGTCATTAAGTGTACCAAGTACAAGTGAGATGAAAGGTAAATTGTTTCAGATGATAAAAATAGCGCAAGAGAGAGAGAAAAAAAAATAGACTCGGGTGCAATTGACAGGTATTGGGTTATGTGTACTACAAGACAAGACAAATAAAATAAAGCAAATTATTTACTGCATACACTAGCCGGACATATCTGACTGTCTCACCTGGCCTCATGGCGATGTGTGTGGCAGAGTTGAAATGAGCTGGAAGGGGCTGATGAGCGGGTGGTGGCTGAAGTGCCAGCTGACAGTATGGGGGAATAAATGCTGAGGGTGGTGCCACAATGGGTGGTGACTGTTGAGAAGTGTGGCCCAAGTATGCTGAAAAAAAGAAAAGAATGTATTAAAATCACCCTTCCTTCATAGGAAGACTTGAAGAAATGGGAATATGTAATCTGTAGTTTTAAAATGTTAAACTTACTGCTGAATTTGAGTTTTTCATCTGAGTAGTCATCTGAATATCCACTGTCAGGGCTGGGGGGTAAGGATGCTAAAATTAGAAATGCAAGTTCACATTCAAAAATACATCAGATAGAGGAATCTGAAATATCTTTCAAACATTTATAAAATGATGTGATGTTACAAAAATCTGATAGATAATTTCAGCTATTTATAAAATGAATTTGATCTTGACATGTGAAGGTCACTGATTATCATCACTGTATCTCTTCCTTCATACTTGACTATCTTTTCTAGTGTGAAGGCTAACATTTTCATCTTGGTCTGTTGCTAAAGCCTGAACACTTCAACCCAAAAAATAAGGAAATTAGAAAAACTAATCTTTCCTACATCAACAGAATAGGCAACTTGAGTCTTGTAATCAAGGAAATCATACGTCAAATATGTATCCTCTTTACAAAAAAGTTCATTTATATTGATAAACCCAAAAGATATAACAAAAGCCAAATGCCAGTGATATTGCCAGCTCTGCTAGGGAACAAGGAAGGAAATTTTACGATAAGCATTTAAACTTTTGTTATGGTTGAGATCTCAAATTCAAAAAAATGCTATTCAGAACAGGATTTGGCCAAAGATGTAAGGTGCAAATGAAAAGGTTTAAAACCCAGCTCTAGCTTTATCTGAAATAAATGTGCTTCCTGTGACATACTTCTATTAAAACCTCTTTGTGTGCCAGTATTTCCGTGTTTAAACCCTTACAAAGCAACTCAGCTGGAAAATCTTGTTATCCACAATTCTAAAAACATATTACTGTTTTACTAGCCATTGAAATAGCTGAAATTCTAATTGAAACAGGTTTTATACCATCCTTTTTGACACACATTAAGTTGGCAAAATGATTCCTATTTTGAAATATACCAAATCCTTACCAAGAAAAAACAAAACTTTCTTAGGACATACGACTTAAAGAGAATTTAAATGGTATTCATGCACCCTGTATTTCATAATTCTAGTGCATGGGCTGCATTTGTATGTTGGTGGTGGTTGGGTTGGAATTGTTTTGCTTACCATGCTGTGGCTGGCAGATCCCTTGAAGAAAAGTTTTGTTCTCTGAGGTTGGGGACTCCATGCACAATAACGCCTCTGCTGCCTCTTGCCTGCCATTGCTCTTGGTCTGCTGTTCACAAGCATCCACTGTAAAGAGAAAGCACTAATCTGTAGTTCTCATTAACTATTAGGTAAACCCATGGCAAAACGGTGTCATTTCCACAGCTACCATAAAGGCTGGGTGATTTACTGATTAATAACTAGAATATCTGTGAGTAAACATGATATCACATATATTACCACAAAACCACTATGTATAACCTTTATTCAGAATACATAAAAAAGGGGCATGTAATATGCATTTTCATATTCTTTATAAAAAGGAACACAGTGTTCTAATTTTACAACTGACTGATCAATTTTCTTTTTACTTCTCGACAGTTGCTGCATTTTTTATTTGATATATTCTGATGCCTGACGGCAGCAAACGTGTGACAGGAAGTACAAAGCAGAGAAAGGAAGACAGCACCTGGGCCGCTCTGGGATAAAGGAGTTGGAGCGCGGCCAACTGCTTTATGGAAGTTAGAAATAATTCAAATTGTTCTTAATGCAGGTAAAAATCTGTTGTTTCCTCATGTACAATACACAGGAAGCATACATGATCACACAGGAAAGAAATATTGAAGACTACCTATTATGTTTTCAAAATGAAATTTTCTACAGTATGAATTTCTTATAAGCTCTGAATCATGAAAATTATTAAAATTTCATAGATCTTTGCTTAGACAATATTAATGACATGTTAAAAAACATAAAACAAAAAAAGCATCCTCTGGGAAATGAGACCACTAAATGTCACTTCCCTTTACAAGGTGGTAACTCTACTGTAAAGTTCTACTGACGTTTTATTTGATAATAGCTAAGTCATATTCTGTTTTCCCATTTGTCTTCATGCATGATAAGAGGCAAAGGTAAGATGAATATTAAAGACACAATATCCCTGTTGACTTTGGGCATGATCCATCGACAACATTTACTCAGGGATAAGCAAAATACACATAGGGCCATCAAGGAAACCTTAATGTGGGCGGAGAGCCATTTGACCTGCCATACTCATGTCGAAACAAGTTCAAAATATTAGTATACCAGCAGACAAACAGACCATGAAGAATGACATTAGAAAATAAATTAAAAACTGAAATTGAAATAGGGCCATCTGCAAATTGGAAATGCTGAAGTTATTCTCCCATGCACATCCAAAGAACTGCTAAATATTTTATTTATGTATTTCTCATTTCAGTTGGAAGAATAATCAGGAACATCTTCAAGATTGATCTACTATTTTAACCCAAGCATGACAAGCATTAAGAAATCTCAATTATGCAAAAATGTCATACTTTCCTGGGAAATCTCATAAAATACAAAGTATTTCTCAAAAAATATCCAAAAAATGAATGAAAAAGAGAAAGAGGAAAATAAACCTTTGCAGAGACTCAACTTTCAATTCTTTTATTAAGATCTGGTCTGATGGGTTCATATTTTTTCAATATACAATGGGTCATAACCTCATCTCCTTGTCTGTTTTCTTGCATTTTCTAATTACACTAATGCATATTTTGTTAAGATATATAGCAGAAGAAAAGGGTATTAATTGATACCTGCAACCAATTAGGGCTATCACTAATTGGCAGGAATTGTCTACAAACAGGTAATCATGCACATTGTTTGCTTAAGGAAGTGACCACCCCAGGCGAGGTGAGAAGTGGCCTAGCCCTGGCATACATCGCAGAAAAATGTACAAATATTATGCTTTGTATTATCAAAATCATGCGTCTTCCTAGCATCCTAATGAATCTATGCTCCAGAGTAATGCAGAAACACAAGGTTTTTATCATGAAAATTACAGGATAAATCCAATGAAAATACAGTAGGGGGAGTATATATCCACAGGAAGTATGCAAAAGATAGGTAAAAATAAACGACAGTTGCATAATTAGCTGCAATTATCTAGAACTGTGTTAAAGATGCAGCTAGAAAACTTGCCTGATGTAACTTTCTTCATGATCTTAAATGCTATCAGCCAAGTACATAAAAACTGCAGATTTTACAGAAAATTGTGGGGGTTTTTTTTCTTTTACATTAGTACAGATCTGGTAGATGAATTACAAGTGGCTGTGACTGATAAATGTCAGATTTTACACTTAATGTAAGTGTGGTACAAAGTATAATAAATGATAAAGAACAGAAAGGAGACAAATTATTATCTCAACTCCTCAGAGAATGTAGGCTTCAGGGCCCTGTTCTTTATTTTAATTAGTACACCATCAATAAATTTTGATGAGTCAATCACACACTATTAGATAAACTGATTTAATTGATGACAAGTTAAGTAAAACACATGTATCTAGTTGGATTTGAAGGCCATATTAACTGTTAGACAAAAAACAATAGGAAATGCTTGTCTGTTCACAAGGCCCCCACGGTAGGACTGTACATTTGGACCAGAAGCTATCATAATTCACAGTTAAAGGGCACCTGGCCCGTTTTCTCAACTGATAAATGCAATTTTTAGTATGTGGACCTCCCATTTGTTACACACATAATAGCTACTACAGGCTTGACATGAATGTAAAAGGTGTGTTTTATCCAAGGTTTCATTGTCCCCAAGTATTCTACCCAGTTAAAATAATTCAGGTAGTAAACCTGGGTAGTTAAAAGGCCATGAACAGATGACTTCTCTGGCTGTTCAGTATAATAGGGGGTTATAAATAGAGGACAAACATCAAACTCTATTTCCTGCCTTAAAATATTCACTCAAGTCTTTAAAATCCTTTTCAGAAATATACTGCCAACAGTAAGAAAATCAATATTTTGTCAACCCGATTTATTTGATATAGGGTATTCTATTTTAAGTTAGCTGATTTATGTTGGTTTGTATACTATCCAAACAGGTGCCAAAACCACTAGCCAATCCCGCAATGAAAAATCCTAAATTAAAAATAAGTGTCAAGAAATAGAAAATCATGAGAAAGTGTTGGACACATTTCATCAATATTTCATATTTATTAGCTTTACTTTCAAATGACCCCCTTATCTGTTGATGCTGTTTCTACAACGTGTTACCTCCAACAAAGCAGAAAACAGTCAAACTGATACAGGAGCAACATGTGTCCAAGTAAACTTAGTGCATAACATATCAAATATTACAGAAATAGGTTTTCATGTATTTCTTACAAATGATGACAAGTTGAAGAGACTACTTACAGTATCTTTTCATGAGATTTTTCTTGTATGTTCCCCCTCCCGCTTTATCCGAGGGGGGACCACGTCCCTCCTCACAAGAATCCACGGAGTCATGCCGAGTTTTTTTCTTTAATGACAAATCAAGAATAGGGACCGAATCTAAATCCATAAACATTGTATGCACTGAAAAATGTGTTCAACCCTCTGTATGTAAAAATTATCACAAACGTTTTATTTTTTCCTCACACACGCATGAAAGCCAATATAAAAAAAAATCAATGATGAGAATTATCATGTAAGTCTGTTCTCCATGCAGATAAAATGCTTCATGTTGATTGAGATGGAAAGCTGTTAATAATGAGTCTCCTCATGCAGTAGATTCCTGTGTGACACCGCCTGGTGGCCTGTAGGAAGCGAACACTGCACTCTATTTACATAGGAAGTCTCTGTATGTCTAACCAACCCATATTGTTATAGTCATTGAGGCCACCGGTCACATGACTTGTGATGTAAACTCTCTCACTCAGGTAGGAAATCAGAGCCTTGGCTATTTAAAATTTTCCTGTTTTTCTAAACACACACACACACACACAGAGGCAGTGCTGGTGATTTGACAACTCAGGTGTATAGAATTTGTTTTTGGTTGAATGGAGAACAGGAAATAATAATTCAATCTCGTGCAGGTATTCGGCAGTGGTGGTGATAATATGACCTTAGGTCTCAAGGGATTTAGATATCAAACCAGTATGTCTTAGATAGGCAGGTAGATAGTTGCTACATTAGATAAACTACAGTCAATAACACACTCTAGAAGACAATATAATGTAGGTTATCTGACCAGCTCAAACATCAATCCAGCTAGGGCACATCTAATGGACAGACATTTCTCTGTATGTATAATGCAGGCATGCACGACTGCTCCAAGTGAATAAAAGCATATAGGGAATGGGGGTGTGGCAAAAATCTTAATTAACTTGGGTACCACATAATATCCAGGAAGAAAAAAAAAGATTTCTATTGAGGGATTTAAAAGAAAGGAAATATATGATTTGATGATGAATTTGATCGGAAAACTAATTCTTACAATAACAAAAAAAAAAAAAAAAATTACATCCTGTTATCACATTACAGGTACACATTGGTGACTAAATACAAATGAATAAAAACAAAATCTGGAAAACAAGTAGAAAATTGAACTGCCTACAGGAAAGAATCTAGACAAGCTGAAAATTGGACAGTCATGGATTCTAGGTGGAACTCTTCCACATACCTTAATGTGGAGGAGGAACGACAAACAGGAAATGTGGGCAGGTGCCCTTACTGATAAAATAGTGCACCTAATCACTGTCTTACAAAGGTCTCTGCATGGAGTTAGCATACAAGGTTACAACAAGTGAGGAATCTAGGCAAAAGCACTTCCATCAAATCTATCTTTTAAATGTATGATTTTTAATGGATTTTATTAGGTCAAATTTGTTTTGTTTCCTTCAAAAAACACCATCCCTGGTGTCCTATATGACCTTGGTTAAATAACAGATTTTTGGGGTACATTACATAAAGGCCAAGTTCAACAAAGGCCCCTTTTAAGTTAACTGATAATCATTTATGCTAACTTTGTAAATAGAAACATATATGTACCTCATGTGTGACAATTTTATACTAATCTTAAATAGAGCCCTAGGTGGGAATTAAATTTTGACAAATTTAATTTCTCATTTCAAAATTTTACACATTCTTCTTAACCTGCCAAGGTATAAAGCATTCTGATGAAGAATGGTCCTTCTGGTGTTACCGATATGTATATCAACCGAAACGGGCAATGTGGTCACAAGAAGAAGAGATAAATGGATGTACTAGCACCACAAATGATATTGTACTAAGATGGTTCCAGTTCTATTGTATTA